CGGCCGAACATGCTGAGCATGTTCGGCCGACCCGAAGCCACACGAAGCAAGCCGATGTACGGCTGATTTCAGTCGATGTACGGCTGAAATTAGCCGTAGCAGCCTGAAGTGAATAGACGAATAGTGTTTGGCTCACTTCACTTCAGATCGGTCATTCACTCGGCTGCCCTCGGCAGCTTCGTGAATAGACCCCATAGAGAAGAGAGCTCCACTAGGTTCTCATAGTCCAGAATGTGTTTATTAGAGTTCTTTAGAAATAACAATGTGTTTTGGGGTTCCATAGACCACCCTTATCAGGGCTACATTGTATTGTATAACAGCCAAGATGAAGGGAGCCCTTTGAACCAGGTAGCGCTTTCTTTTCTATTTATTAGAAAATTGTCAGGCACATGACTTTCCTTGAATGCACTACACTTAACTTTGAAAACTGACAAATAACACTTGCACAATTAAATACATCCTTCCCACTAAATAATATCAGCCATTCTGCTAAAAGATTTTTGAAAAGGTTGTGAAAATTTTTTATTCAAAATAAAGGCTTATCTCATAGGGCCCAAGCTCCATAAGGTCGTTGAATTGAGTTGAATTGGTTTGGGCTGTCTATGGCCAGTCTAGGCATAACACAGACCATACCTAGTTATCAGTCAATAAATATGTGATACGTGGAGACTGCTATGGGTTCAACTTTATATTAGAAAGGAAACGAATAGTGACACAAATAATACATTTTGGAAGTAACTCATTTTTACATTCTTTTCTTAGCAATACATTTGTGTTCAAAGATTATATTTACAATGGTCACAATTACAAAATGTTTAGATAGACTTTAGATATCGCCCCACTCAGTCTAGCACATGTTTGTGATGTGATATATTGTTATTACATATTGTTGAACTGTTTTTATTTTGTGTGGTAGATTGTTGAACTGTGCTATCCACTCATAATATGTATTGTGAAGTCAAAATGTTAAAAACTACAAATTATGGAAATATGCCCTAGCCAACAAATAAACACATGATAATCAAGTCAGCTTTGCAATATATCAAAATGAGCACTACGAGAATGCTTGGTCCTTTCTTTTAAGAGACTAAGGCTTGATTTTGCTTAGTATAGTTGGGAGTTGTATAATAAAGGAAAATATATCCCACATGTTGGACCAAGCATTCTCGTAGTGCTCATTTTGATATATTGCAAAGCTGACTTGATTATCATGTGTTTATTTGTTGGCTAGGGCATATTTCCATAATTTGTAGTTTTTAACATTTTGACTTCACAATACATATTATGAGTGGATAGCACAGTTCAACAATCTACCACACAAAATAAAAACAGTTCAACAATATGTTATAATAACATTTGATCAATGAACAAAAAAGCAAATCATAGAACTGGTATTAACTCTCCTTTAAAGTTTATGTAAACAATGAACTTCTCTTATTTGCTCCTTTTTGGTCTGTTAAATATACCATTGAAAGTGTTTTGTAACATCTGTTTTAGAAGTGTAAAACATACCTGTTGATTTGACCAGAAATCGTGTGAACTTACAACTTCCTGTACTTTTGTCTATGCACAAGTAGGACTTATAGAGAAGAGGAGGGCAGAGGAGATTAGACGAGTTCTTCTATCAGAAATAAAGTAGACAGGGCTGACACCACATGTTTAAGAATTCAAAGCTGGGATGTTATGTCAGAAAGTAAGGCAGGAGCACACTAGATTTCTAGCTGATCGACAGTTATTTTTTGGTACCTGCAACATGTTTAAAGGGCTAAAACATGTGGAGATGTGCATGTATTCCACAGATGAACTATTTGTTTTTAATTTTGCCTTGACATACGCTTTCATTTACAGATACTGTAATCTAAGGAGAGGGTATCTACCTCAGTGCTTAACTGTTCATTAAGTAAAACTACTAAGTGCAATAATCTATAGAAGCAAATCAGAATTCGCTTTAATGATGTACCTTAAAAAAACAAAAAACAAAACCACTTTAGTGACATAAAGATAACTCTAATTAGTTGCTACAGGCACTGCACTTAGTACTTAGATTGTTGCATTTACTCTTATACTGTACTGTGCTATTACAGAAAAGTATACTCTACTTAACAGCTGCAGACCATAATGTATGCACATATCCTAGATTTTATTACATTTTTCCAGTTTTTAGTAGACCCATATTACTTATGAAAGACTCCAGCTTTAAGAGTTAAACTATCATTTCTATTCATTAATAATTAATGTTTAAACCACCACAATGATGGAGAACTTTTCCCATGTGCCATGGTATAACAGATTTACAAAAATATCCACATAATTACATCCAGGAAACTGAATCCTCCTTTTCTCAGAAAGCTTGTTAACACTATTCCACTGGATACTGTATATGTAACATCCTCTCTAGTTGTATATACATGATTTTCACACATTCTCCACAACTCCTATCCCTTCTTTTATGGCTATATTTTGAGTTGATCATGTGTTGCATACCTGCTTTAAACACATATATGGCATCCTACACACCAGTAACACCCATTTGTGATACATGCACCATAAACACTCTTCCTGGCAGGTTAGTGTGGGCTGAACTAGTAGAAAAGTCTTGCTAAAACCCAGGGTGTCCTTGTTTGGTATACGTTTTCCCTAGGGCACATGCCACACTAATAAAAGTGCCCATAGACAAAAGACACCAAGAGAGTGACACAGTCCTACATATTTGTCTGAGCATTACTGTTTATACTGTGGAGAGCGGTGCCAATCAGGGCCAGCTTAACAGGCAGAATAATATGGTGACTGGACAAAGATTTTCTAATCTTCACTGAAAGTTGGTGAGTTTTTACAGAATGCTCATTAGGCCCCTCACAGGCTTTCCCGTGAGGTCCGCCTGTCAGTTTTTAAGGCAGACCTGATCAGAATCCCCATGTTAGTCTATAGGCAAACATATGTAAACGGACAGGTGACCATTTACATCCAATTACCCCCTGCTCCGACCAGGTCTGGAAAAACAAATGGATCAGAGATCTGTTTCGCCGGACCTGATCGTGCCAGATTGGGGGTAACCAGATGTAAACGGACGCATGTCCATTTAGACCTGGCTGCCCATAGACTTCTTTAGCGCCTCTCCGATCCTTTGGAACTCCCTACCACAATCTATCCAGGTATCTCCTAACCTGTCTGCCTATAGGCAATCTCTAAAAACTCACCTCTTCAGGGAAGCCTATTCCAGCTTCTTTTAAAAACTGTACATCTTCTCCTTCAATCAGCTCATCCACCACAGTTATTACCTTCAGTATCACTTGCACTCCTTGTAGATTGTAAGTGCTCATGCGCAGGGCCATTCTAATCCTTTTCTATGGTTTCGTATTGAATTGTAATTTTATTGTATCCGTAAAGCGATGTGAAAACTTTTGGCACTACATAAATCCTGTATAATAATACTTCTGTTGTATCTTGTAACTGATATATATATATTTTATATTTTTTTTTATTTTGTATTACAGTAAGTTGAACTATATGAATATTTTATGCATTTGTATTTGATCTGTGTTTTTTATTCTGTGTATTTTTGATCTTTATCGCTAGTGAATCTCTGCAAGAATTTGTCCCAAACTTTACCATCTTAATCAAGAACAACATCCATTTCCCTCAGTTCAGATTCTCCAAGTAAGATAATTTAATTGATGATTCTGAAGCTCCCCTCCTGCCTGTAAAAATCCTTGTCTAACACTTGGACATATTGTGTGTGTTCTTTAGAGTGCTATGTGAGGTGATTTCCAGGCACTTAATGAGTATTATAGAATCGGTTTGTTGCTGAGCTCCAGACAATAAGTTTACAATTTGCTCAGTGCCTCTCTTGCTAATGGTGAAGCACTGCGATAAATGATAGCTGCCAAAATTCAAAGTACAAATCAAATGATTAGCAATCCATTTGTAACAGATGGATGCTTCATCATGTCCCCAGAGCTATAAACAGAGAATACGGGGTGCTAGGTTTGTCTGCCAGGGCATGCCATGGCCACCAAGGACTTCAAGATCAAAGTACTATGAGTGGTCAGTCTGAAGAAACAGCATACTTCCTTAACTGGTAGCTAAACTGATTTTATGTGTTTATCCTAACCTATTATTGCTATGGGTTAACCCCCTCGTAAATTACAGTGGCAGCACAGCTTACACACAGTACAATAAGGGTAGTTACTATCAAAGACCTTAGAGCTGTTTTGTTCTTGAATTGGACATATTCAGGGATGATGCTAAAGAGGAAGATATTGTAATGCACTTAAGTGAAAGTATAACTCCAGCCAAAACATCTTGACAATGTAGAGATTTAATGAACAACAAAGACATGAGTTGAAACATAAAGCACAGGCACTAACAAGTATATGATATCCAGTTTTATTTTGTTGTGTTACTAGTCTGGCTATTCGGTCTTTGTCCTTTCCCATCTCTTCATTTCTCTTCTCTTCTATCCTGCAGGGGTAACATTGAAGGTGACAATGCTCTAAAGAACTGTACTTACCACCCCACACAATTCCCTTCCTGCCCGATATTCACCATGGGCTTTATTGTGAGGGAAGCTGGTGTCAATTTCACGGAAATAGCATACAAGGTCAGATAACATTTTACAGAATACTCAAAATGCAGGGGACTGTCTGTTGGGAGGAATTATGTTAATATCAAAATGCCTTGATGGGTGGCTGTCATTCTGAAGGAGTGGATATTCCTAGGCAGGCTTTATTAGCATGGAGATTGCTCTAGGTAACCCCACAGGTGATGTTGAGCCTCAATGATTGAGAGAACTGCTATCCAATGAATCAAAAAGGCAGTGACAGTCAGGCTGGAAATGAAAGGAGCTAGATGATTCTCAAGGCAGGAAGTGATCTCGGCTCCATCTGACTTGCTGCATCGTCTACTACACAATATTAGAAGCTCACAGTGTGCAGTGAAATTAAAGTAAGCAGGAGAGGTGCCCGTACAACTGTGCAAGACTGAAGGTAAGGCCACAGTTCAGCTTTAAAACTAATTTGTCTGGGCCTACTTAGGGGAGTAGGTGCAAAATGGTAAGGAAACTTTCCCTTTAAGCTGGGTATCCTGGATGTTACTTTCTTATGTCCACTTCCATGTCACTGTACCGTCTGCATCTTTTAAACCCTTGTTTGCACATTTGAACTGTTTGCTGTCTGCATAGTGTTGTGAGATTCACACACATTCTCACTTTGGGGTATTGTTGAACAGATATCACCTTTATACCAAAGCTCAGTTTTAGCACTGCTCTATTTCTTTTTTTATGGGACTGTCAGTACACTTCTACTCTTTCTTCACAGTGCTCAGCTTCTAACATAGTGAGCATTTGTGCATTTCAGTATGTTTGTATGAATTAGTGCATTTCTCGATGTATGTATTTACAAATGTTGATTATTTATTTTGGACCCGATTCCACATCCAGACAAGGAAAATATATTTTTTTTTCTATTTGTATATGGCCATAAGCTTTAGGGAAGTCAATCTGTATTTTATATTTTGATCTACGTGTTTATTTTTGAGAGAGGTTTATTGATGTTGGCTTTGTATGTTGTGTACTTTTTAAAATAAAAGTTTGTACTTGCCATTGTGTAAGAGGTCAATTTTTTATGCTATGTATGAATATATACTCAGTGAATGTGCCACCTGCCAAATCTCACAAACTACAGTACCCCACCCCTTCCTCTTGACACTACTAATTTGCCACATCAGGCATACAGACTGGTATCCCCATGGCAAAGTTGCTGGCAATATTGATACTAGCCTCCTTGCCCTTCAGCATCTGGGTTGCTTTAAAAAGGGTTCCCCAAAAAAGTTATACACCTTCTAAAGCATCACTACAAATGTCCCAAATAAGTGGTGTTTGCAAAGTGGGGTTGACCTTATGGTGACCTACCTACCTGGTGAACTGATTTTACGGGTCTTATGTAACCCTATCCAGTTGGCAATGTGTGCAAGCAAATAAAAAGCTAAAATAACACACATTGTTAAAACTGTAACCTATATCATTCACAATATTTGGTCTAATTCGATAGATAGATAGATAGATAGATAGATAGATAGATAGATAGATAGATAGATAGATAGATAGATAGATAGATAGATTTAGATATGCAGTGTATTAAAAAAATTGCCTGAAAATTGCCATGTAACCAGAAAAAGCAGGCTGCCTAAAACAGTCCAACCTAGAACATTTGCTTTATATTTAGAAAGATAGTTTAATAAGGAGTATAACGTTCTTCATGCTTTCAGCAACTGTCTTTTCCCGCAGATATTATTGTTTTTATTACTATTATTATTATTAATGCATCTGCCTTCTATTGCAGGGAGGCATTATTGGTGTGATCATTAACTGGAACTGCAACTTAGATTTACATCCATCAAAGTGCCGTCCACAGTATTCCTTCCGACGCCTTGATCTACAGAGTAATGTGTCCACTGGCTACAACTACAGGTTGGTTATTAAAACTGCATGAGTTAATTAGTAGGAAAACATGAAATCAGAGATCATGTCTCTCATCTTTCGTTTGGTATTGCCCCATAGATTCTCTATGGGGTTCAGGTCAGGCGAGTTTGCTGGCCAATCAAGCACAGTAATCCCACGGTCATTGAACCAGGTTTTGGTGCTCTTGGCAGTGTGGGCAGGTGCCAAGTCCTGCTGGAAAATGAAGTCAGCATCCCCATAGAGCTCGTCTGTGGAAGGAAGCATGAAGTGCTCCAAAATCTCCTGGTAGACGGCTGCGTTGACCCTGGACTTAATGAAGCACAGTGGACCAACACCAGCAGATGACATGGCTCCCCAAATCAACACAGACTGTGGAAACTTCACACTGGACTTCAAGCATCTTGCAGTGTGTGCCTCTCCATTCTTCCTCCATACTCTGGGTCCTTGGTTTCCAAATGAGATGCAAAATTTGCTCTCATCAGAAAAGAGGACTTGTACTTGTACTTGTACCTGCAGTGCGTTCAAAATAGTTGCAGCATTTTGACCACACCAGACCGCAGGCACAATGTGCCCTGCGATCCCGTGCGGGTGATCGCATTGCGGCCGGAGGCCGTGGCTACAGCGCCATTTACATCATTGGCCCACTACACCCCCTCTTGCCCGGCAAAAAAGTGAGCCGGCCGCAATGCGATGCAAGTGGTGTGAACAGGCAATAAAACGGTACCAAGAACACGGCTACAGGAGCAGCCATATTCTTGGTATAACCACTTCCAGCAGAGGACCTGCATTTACGTCAACCCGCGGTAAGTGGTTAAAAAAACACACACACATAAAGAAAAAAATAGGATTTTGGTACTCACCGTAAAATCCTTTTCTCTCCGTTCATTGAAGGACACAGGGAACAGATCGGAGATCATGTACTGTAGGGTAATATCGCCACCTGCAAGAGAAGGACGCTAGGCACAAAAAAACTAAAGACCAATTACAGCCTAGGGGCGGCCCCTGCCGGTGGCCAAACCCCCCACCTGCTGACAAGTCTCCAGTTTAGAAAACTCCAAGTGTCCCAATGCGTCCTCATCCGACCGCGTCCCGGCGAGAAAGACCGATCCGGCCAGGTGACGCGCAAGTAAAGGGACACGGAAGCGGCGCACCGGAAGTGACGTCAGGTCGAGGGCGCACGCGCCCACACCAAAGATGGCGGCCGAGGCCTCCGAGAAGGCAACAAACGAAGCCGGGGGCTCGATTAGCGCCCCCCGCGAACGGAACCAGGCAGCAGCAGCCAAAAACCCCCGATCACATATCACACACTCATTAAAAAAAACACACACAGCTTAAAAGCTGTGTAAAAGTAAAAATAGTTAATTAAAAAATGTCCCCCTCTCCTGCTTACCTGTTTTGCAGGAAGGGGGGCTGCATCCCCTGGGTCCAGTGTGGCACTTGGGGATTATCCTGGTCTGGTGGTCGAGTGACCATACTGGTGCAGACCATACTAATCGATCCCTGCTAAATCAGCGGCGGTACCACGAGGGAGAGATCAATATGATCTGCATCAGCAAGAGATGCAGCACATACTGATTCCCCTCTGGATCACCAGGGAATGATTTTCATTTAATATATTGCCAGTTCGTCAATATATTAAATGTAATGTGGGCACTTGCCAGGTTTAAAAACCTAATGCGCAGTGAAGACCCCCTGGGGAAATCGGAGGCCCGCACAGAGCACCTCAGGTGATAATATGAAGTGTGCGGGCCCCGGCTTCCTCCGGTGCTGCGGGGGCCCGGCTGACTCCACCTCCCGCCAGGCACCTGTATAGCCATCAGCCGATACACATGCAAGGTTCACGGGCCCCAAAGGCTGGCCGGGCCCCTTACATGTGTATCGGCGGTACCCCCTGACGGCGGCCCTGCATGGAAGTAGGAGCATTGGAGCGTGTGCAGCCTTCTATTCGGCATACTGAGACAGGACAGGCGAGGTCTGTTTAATTTCTGATTACTTGCCTGGTGGACTACTGGGAAAAAGCAGACCTGGAATATGATATACAGTATTTATTTATTATTAGTATTTATACTAATAACTACACAGTTCTTTACATAGTGACACATTCACATCAGTCCCTGCCCTCAAGGAGCTTACAATCTAAGGTCCCTATCTCACATGTAAACATACAAGGACCAATATAGACAGGAGCCAATTAACCTACCAGCATGTCTTTGGCGTGTGGGAGGAAACCGGAGTACCCGGAGGAAACCCACGCAAGCACAGGGAGAACATGCAAACTCCTTGTAGATAGTGACCAGGCCGGGATTTGACCAAGGACCCCCAGTACTGTAAGGCAGAAGCACCATCATCCTTTACTTTGGCTGAAAACTCACCCTCCGTTTGGACTAAAACCTGCTCTGACAGTTTGAATCTGAGTGGTTGCTGCACCAAAATAACTCCAGCTCTTACTAAAAACAGTGATAAACTGTTATTACTCCAAGATAAGGCAGATGTTGGGGTTTTGGCCTACTGCATTAATATGCAGGCTCAGTTGATAAAAAAATGAATACTTACATTCAACAGTAGTTGAAAAATTATCATATGTAGACATGTGCGCTGGCAAAACATTTGTTTTGGTTCCTTTAGTTGCAGATTTTTCATTATTTCGGTTTTTGGGATTCGGATCCAAAAGTCAATTCGTTTCATTATTTGGATTAATCCAAATTTTTTGGGTTCGAGGGTTCCTTGCAGGTGACCCTTGCA